ACTTCATAGCATGGTCCTCGGGTTGTGAACATGGTTTGCATTTCTGTGTTGCAGAATGGAAGTGGTTGTGCAGTGCCGCAGGTGAGTCAGTGTCATTTCTGGCATTTCTGCATGAGCAATACATGGTACAAATGTCCGTTTCTGTACCAGTAGTTCATTTTCCTAACATGTTCGATTAGAAACAAACCAGATATATAAAATGGCTGGTTTTCTGTGGACCCAAAGAAGGCTCCAGAGCCGAAACGTTGTGTTTCTTTTCTTCTCTTTTCAGCCGGGAATAAACCTTTACCTGTTCCTTTACAGAACTATAACATGGTGCTGGGGATACTTTCTTAAATGTACTTTGGGTTGAACTACGCAGTGACGTCTCTCTAACTTAAGTTAGTTTTCTCACAAGCTAAAGGTCAATAGAATACCTAGAAAATATACATCCCAGCAACAGAAAATGAAGAAGGAGAAAGTGCAGTTGCTCTTTTTTGTTTAACAGAGGTCTCCCTTGCCTATTGGTCAATGATTTAGTTTTTAACAGATCTCGGTCTGAGTTTTCTTATTTCCATATAGCATGGCTGTTGGGAATACCAGCATGTTGACTGTATGTTGGGAGGAGCAGCGTGTTGACTGTATGTTGGGAGGAGCAGCGTGTTGACTGTATGCTGGGAGGAACAGCGTGTTGACACACATCAAGCCACTGTCCTTGTTGATGTTACTGTAACAGTCTTACACACAGATGCTACCGGTTGCCTGTTGTTTTTTACGTCTGTGCATTTATAAGGCCCCTGTTTGATGCTGTCAGAGATGCAGGTTCACAGGAGCATGTGTGTTGCATGAGAGCAGTGGGAAATATATGAGACACACACTTTCTTAATGCTCAGCAGCTGAATCACCATTGGTCTCAGCGAAACTACTGTTTTTCTTTTGATGATCTCAAATTACACTTTCCTAGCATAGTAATAAAGGCTTTGTTACCTTGTTATTGAAGTATAGAGAGATTTATCTGTAGAAATCAATGGAAAGCCAACAAGTATCATTTGTAAAACAATTAGCTGATGCCAAAGAATACATGCTGTCAGAATATAAGAAAGGTTAGTACAGACGAGTGATTTGGCCCATCGAGTCCCTTGGCCAAAGACTTGATGGGCCAAGTTTGCAAGGATCAAACTCATGATCTTCAGATTATGAGGGACACTTTGCCTACTACACCAATGTGAGGTATTTATGAAATGAACACCAGGAGTAGTATCAGTGGTTGTAGCAGTGAGGTTATTGCTGTTTTTATGTTGTTTGTATTTAGCAGATAGTGTTCTGCATTTGTGGTGTAAATTTTTGGAAAGACTCATTCTTTTTGCCAAACTATATAGTAAAAAAGCATGTAGTTAAAAATCTGACGTTTCAAACCAGAACAGACGGCAGAGGACATTAAGAAAGTTAATTTTGAATCCGACTACTGTACATTCCCCCTGGTTTGGATTATGAAAATCTTCTGTGTCTCTAGGAAATGGTTATTATTTTTACAAAAGTAATCTTTTTTTTTTCTTGGTACTCACTTCCCAGTTCTTAATGATCTATTGATTAAGTAAACCCTTTCAATGCAGGTTTTCAAAATTAATTTACCCCCACTGGTCCAAATATTAAGTATACAGTACCTGGTCAGATATGAAAGGCTGAAGGATATGTAGCTCATCTTGAGGAGCTTAGTTAAAGATGTTCCATCACCTTCCCTGTCCTGAACAATTACCCTGCTCTCCATCCTATGACAGAACAGTGGAAATGCTGTTACATACAGTTTATACTCAACCACAGAACTTCAAATGAATGCCAAGCTAGACATGTTATACATTAGTAGTTCAGGTGGGTAGCTGCGTCAGCATGCGTAAGCTGCAAAGGAACAAGTAATAGGTTTATTCCATGCTGAAAAAAAGAAGAAAGAGAACACAACGTTTCAGCCGTGGAGCCTTCTTCAGGTGTGGCTAATGTTATACATTAGCCATTGATGCAAAACACTACAAGTAAATAATATTATTTAATGGTTGTGGTTAGTATTCATGAAGTTTTGAACAGATATTCAGGAGAAGATCAGATCCTAATCTCCTCCAGTGTTCTGCATAGAGATGTCTTGCCTCCTGAGCTTTCCTTTCCCAAACCCCACCTTCACCCCTGCAGCTGCTCCGTAGCTCATTCCTCATGAAAGTGAGGGGGTGTTCAACCCCTTCATCCTCCATGTCAGACTGCAGTTCCCTCAGCAAGGCCCTTAACCCCAGCTGCTCCAGGGGCGGCGTATAAATGGCTGACCTTCTGACCCCAAGCTTCTCTGCCTGTTTTTGTGTCTCATGGAGAGCAAGCTGGGGTGTCTGAAAAGACAAATTCCTTATACAAGAAATTGTATATGGCCACTAAAGTGATCTGATCTTATCTTAGAGATACTGTTGATGGTTTGCACTTGCACGGCCTTCTCACAGGTTTCTTCTCTTCGTTTTTCCCTCTGATTCCCTACAGATGACGTGACTCTTGACCCAGAGTCCGCTCACCGCAATCTTGCCCTGTCCGAGGGGGGGATGCGCGTGAGGGAGGCGGGATGGAGGGACCTGCCCGACACCCCGCAGAGGTTTGGCGAGCGCTACTGCGTGCGGAGCAGGCAGGGCTTCTCCGCCGGGCGGCACTACTGGGAGGTGGAGGTGAACGAGAGGTGGACGATAGGAGTGACCAGAGAGTCCGCCGAGAAGAAAGGAGAGTTTGGCTTCACTCCTCAGGAGGGCTACTGGGCTCTGGGGTGCTACTCGTCCAAATTCAGGATTTTCACTGACCCCCCCACCCCTCTGCCTCTAAGCCTCAAGTCCAGAAGGGTGGGGATATATGTGGACGTGGAGGAGAAACAGGTCTCCTATTACAACGCGGAATCCAGGACTCACCTCTACACGTTTGGAGACATGCACTTAAACGAACGGGAGAAGGTCTACCTGTTCTTTTGGACAACTGATAACACCAGAGACATAGCCATTGTTTCTCCAGGGAGCATACCAGATTAAACAGGTTCCTAACTCTGAAGATAATAATAATAATAATAATTATTATTATTATAATTATTGCTTACACTTTTCTGGACACTCCACTCAAAGAACTTTCCAGGTAATGGGGATCCCCTCCACCACCACCAGTGTGCAGCCCCACCTGGATGATGTGACGCCAGTCGTGGTGCACACAGTACTCTCACCTCACATCAGCTATCAGTGGGGAGGAGAACAAAGTGATGAAGCCAGTTCATAGAGGGGGATTATTAGGGGGCCATGATTGGTAAAGATTGGGAAAATCTGGCACGGACACTGGGGTAACACCCCTACTCCTTTTGAGAAAAGCCCTGTTTTTTTAATGACCACAATTTTACGTCTCCTCTGAAGGACAGCACCTTTATACAGTCTAGTGTCCCCATCACTATACTGGTGCATTAGGACCCACACAGACCGCAGGTTGAGCACCCCCTGCTGGCCCCACTAACACCTCTCCCAGCAGCACCCTCAGCTTTCCCAGGAGTCTCCCATCCAGGTACTGACCTCACTCATACCTGCTGAGCTCCAGTGGGGCTGCCAGCTGGGAGTTGCAGGGTGACACGGCTGCTGGAAAATCAGACGTGCAGCAGAAATCTGCGCTGTAGAGTAACCAGGCATAAGGCAGCCAATTTTGAATTTCTGTAGGAAACATGCAGAACCACTCTAGAGTGGGAGTCCTTTTGAAGCTTGCTTATTCCATTCCAGTTCGGGCAGAGTTTTTGAAAAGATCTAAAGAAGGACAAGCTGTGCTCCAGTTCAGCGTTAAAAAAAAAAAAACAATTCTTCATGCAGTCTTGAGAATTTTTGTCAGTGGAATTGTTAATCGATGGAATCCATTATCGGTTTGATGCATCACCTTCGTCACAGGTTTGAGATAATGTACCTATATTAGATATACAGTACTGGAGGTTGGGGCTCTCTAGGACAAGGACAGACTATTAAAAACTATAAATTAAAATAAACAACTTTTTTACAAACCTGGAGTTTAAAATTAAACTTCTGACTTGGGAATAGCTGCATTCCATTTTATTTGATCATCTTATTTTATTTTATCTTAGCACAGCAGGTAAGAGGTGTGCAGACAGCCCACCAGTGCAAGTGTGTGGTTTCTTCAGAAGAGTTGAACTTGAGTCCAACTTCACTGCACCCAAGATGTCAGCTATTTCACCAGTTCTAAAAATAGTGGAGAAAGCAGTCAAAGCATCATGCAGGTTTTGATTGCTTACAAATAGATTTTATTAGGTTTTTTCAAAAACCTAAACATACAAAAGAACATTTTGTTTTTATACATTTTACATAAAAGGCCGCAATGTTCAGTTTTATTGTCTTTCTTTTTTTCTTTTTTTTTCCCCTTGTTAGGCCCAGGTTTAAAAATACACGCGAAATGTGTGTGTCGCGGAGCCAGTTCGGACACGGTGACGTCATCGCCCTCACTGCGCGTAGCAGGGACCTCAGCCGCCTGGGCTGGGGGAGGTCTCCTTTAGCTCACTCGGCGTAGAAACAGGTTCTAGTAGAAACAATAGGCGATTCCGCCGGAGACCCGGGTTCGCGCCCAAGGTGCGGGACGAAACGGGCGGCGGGGGCGCGGAACCGCGACGGTCACATGTGCGACACTAAAATTGCATAAAGAAGACGGGATAATAAAAAATATAGGAAAAAAAGGACTGCAGAGAAAATTAAAAGAAAGTTAGTTTTTGTATGAGAATTCCCCCTGGTTTGGGTTGTTAAACTCTTGTGTCTCTAGAGGATTATTTTGACAAAAGTAATCAGTTGATTTCTTGGTAATCACTTCCTATTGGTCTGTTCATTTACACAAACCCATTCGATGCAGGTTTTCAAACTTAATTTACCCTCACTGGCCAAAATATTAGGTCAAATGTGTAGTTCTCAAAAGAAGGCTGAAGGATACATAGCTCATCATGAGGAACTTGTGAAAGATTTTCTATAGCCTTCCCTCAACAGTTACCCCGATCTCCATCCTGTGACAAAATGGTGGAAATGGTGTTGCATACAGTTTTCGCTCAACATCACAACTTCAGATGAACACCATCCTGCCAGAATAGTGGTATAGGCCTGGACAGCAGATATATCAAAACCTTGCGTTGTTGTGGCTTACAAAACTAACATTATTAGAAACCGAATATTTTGGGCAGTGAGCATGCCCATGTATGATACATTGACTTATGTGCTCATAAATTGCTATGGTACGAAAGTGCGGACAGTCACTGGTCATGTATCGCAGAATCTGGTATCTTGCGCATCTTTCTGTGGTGGTAACTCCATGCACTGCGGAGGCAGGGGTGCTGCTGAGTTTCTCCGCTTTCTGGGTACCCAAAACAGACGGTTGAACACAATTGCTCCAGACGGAAAGTGAAATTTTCCATGGGCCTACCCCTGTTGCGGAACAGCCAAAAAAAGCTGAGTGAGAACTGTTTGAGAAGCACGTTTTGAGGTGGTGTCGGACAGTATCCTGCAGAGTGAATGTTTTCATCTTGTAGCTGTGGGCGTCTTGTAGCTTCTGCCAGTAGAAACGGGAGGTAATTGACAACCGCTGGATTTCTAGGGAAGACAGTCCGAGATCAAGCCTGGAGGGCTGGATGGACACTGACGGAGTCGTACAAAACATTGTCCAGCAAACATTTTCCAACATTAACACAGTGCTTTCGGACACCTGTATGTGAACATGGTTTACCAGAGGTCCAGATCTACCACAGTTATTCTTTTTTCTTCTAGCTCTCACAAATAGAAAAAAATAATGAACAAAAGTTGACTGCAGATGTGCAAAACCCAAGACACAGGTAGATCTGCAGTCCAACGGAACGTTTTCAAATAAACAACAAGGTGCATCTTTAGATGAGAAATTCTAGAGGGCTGTGGGACACTTGGAGAACTCTAGATGCAAAATGCTGGTCCTCACCCTGTTATGGATTTGGTATAAAATATATATTTTTTTGTCATGTGTTTTTCCCTTATTAGAATCTTTTCTTCTACAACACTAGTTGCATCTTCTGTACTCCTTTTGCCCACTCACACAAGTACACAACTCTCACACACAAACATTAAATTGGAGGTTAACACTAGAACTACCAGAGTTGTCATTTTGGACTTTAATGACTCCATTCCCTGTATCCGGTGCACATGGGGGCTGGGTTTTAGTAAATATCTGTACTGCTGATCTAGAAACAGCAGGATAATTAACATTTCCAGAGCAATAAAGGCTGTGTAATATGCTATAACCAGAACTACCAGAGCTGTCGTTTTGCCTGTGAGATGGAATAATCTCCTTATACAGGTTAGTATCCCATTTTGATATTCTTAATTTATTATCCAGGACTCTGCTGTAAATGCATAATGCAGAATGTCATTTGGTTACACCTGCATCTAAAAGCAACCACAACCCAAGGTGTTGGGGTGTCAGAGGAAGTGAAGCGAGTCTCTCTGTAACTGACCTGCGCCGTGTACATCCAGACATAGAACCCACACCTGGCAGAGAGGACTCTGATCCTAGCTGAATCCATCATAGTCATGGACGACCATCATCCTCTTAATATGAGGGGACGGCCAGTGAATTAATTTGCTTACAATGCTTCGGTTGTGGCAATAGTCCAATGTGCATGAAAAATCACAGTTATTCTAATGCCATTTAAAAATGTTTTTGAAACTAGGAGAGTGACAGGGATCGTTACCAACATTTACAGGATGTTAGTAACTTAGTCCAATCCTACCCATAGCCTGCACTATACCTATAGGCCCACATCCAGAACTATATCATACGGGTATTCTTATAACTGCTTATTACATTGCAAATACCATTAGTAAACTGTTGATAAGCAGTTCTATCAGATATCTAAACTAGATTGTGAACAGAACATGTGTACAACTCCAGTAATTCTAGCGTTAAAGGGGATTGCCTGTAGAGCAGATCAGACATATCGCAGCATCTCTCTAGCCTCAACCCCTTGCGCCAGTGCTTCCCGCTCAGTCTCCCCCACCACTCCTGCTTTCCATCATCAGAGACCTCCTCTTCCGTTCGTCTTCTGTCTCCATGCAAGCCAATTTCATGTGGGGAAAGCTCTTTCTCTTGGCCACGGCCGCCGCCGCCGCTCCCGATTGGACAGCCTGCCCCGTGATGTCGCTGTAGGCGTGCCGAGCCAGTTTGGGCACGGAGGGCGAGGCTGTGGGTGACGAGTCTCCGCAGGTCTGGATCCGACGGACGGGCACCTTGTTGGGGTGCCTGTCCATGGCCCTCGCCCAGGCCTCGTCGAAAGAGATGCTGGCCGGCACGTTGTGTCCGATCCTGCCGCCCCCTCCCTTGTCTCCCTCGCTGTCACTGTCCTTCCCCGTCTCCCCGCCCCCCGCGGGAGAGGAGTTTCTCTCTCTCCCGCCGTCGTCTCCCCCTCTCTCGCCCTCCTGCTCTCCCTCTTTCGGCTTCGCCTCCTGGTGGTGGAACAGCTGGTGTTTCATTTTCAAAGCAGGGGGCAGTTTGGAGAACTGGGGCTTGGGGGGCACAACGGGCACCGATTTCACTTGGTACACTCTGGGCAGGGCGTTACCCGAAATGGCCAGCTTCATGCGAGCGCCGCCCTCGTCATCGAACAGTGCCGGTTCGATCTCCCCCTGCTCCGAGCCCTCCATTCCTGGCTCGGTCTGGCCTGGGTGCACCTCCTCCTCCTCTCCCTTCGTCAGATGAGGACATGGCTCTTCCTGTACATCATCTCTCATTTCTGCACTCCCGGCAACCTCATTATCTGGACCAGCAGCACTGTTTGACCCTGCACCGGAGTCCGATGTAGCCTCCAGGCCTTCAGTCTCTTCATTAGTGACCTCCTTGCTGAGCTCCTCATCTTTATCTGGTTTCAAGTTGCCATCATCAAGCGCAAGCAGGGAACTTGGTTTGTCTCCCTCTGGATCCGGTGCCGGCGCATTCTGTACAGGCTCTAGGTGCCCCTTGGTGTCAGTCTTTGCATCTAACTCATTGACGTCACACGTAGCTTCAAACTTCCCCTGGTTCTCTGTGCAAACAGTGGCTTCCTCGGCTAGTTTAACTGTTGCTGGCACCTCGGACGATGCTGAACTTGCAGAATCGGGCTGCTGATCTATAGCATTTAAAACCCCCGTAAGCACCTCTAGGACTTCTGAGGCACAGGCAGGGTGGTTCTGCAGGCCTGTATCGAAATCCTGTTCCAGCTGTGGGCCAGAGGTAGTCTCGTGTGAACTTCCAGGAACAAAATGCGTCTCATTTCCTTGTGGGTCATTGGTGCAGCTTACTCCCATACTTTGCTGGATCCCCAAGCATTGTATTCGGTCATTTTCTATATTTACAGTCCCCGATTTGACACAAGCATTCTGCACACAGCTCTCACTATATCTGAACTCTGTGCATTCCAGCGTATAGCTGTCTTCTGTTATTCTTAGTTCGACGACATCGCCTGCACAGTGCAACACACTGTCCTTATGAAGCGGAGCAACAGCAGATTCTAACGTATCATCCAGCGGTTCAGGATTCATTGGAATATCTTCAAGAATCCTACCGGACTCTCCAGTCATGACGTGGTTTTCTTTTTTACAGCCTCTGGAAAAAAAAAAAGCATATCAAATTCTGGGTGAATTTTATTCAGGCCAGTTATGTTCAGCAGTTATCATGTTTCTCAGGGCTTTTCCTACAATCAGTACATATCTGTCCTCTATCACTTGAGATGGTTAAGTGTCATCTGAAATCTGATGCTAAAAAGGCACACTTGACCTTTTTCAGCAAATAAACAAACTGATAATATTAAAAGGAATTGCATTCCTTAATTTGGAGTTTAAAGGTTTCTAGTTAGTTAACCTAACAGCTGGTGTCTCTGTACAGGTCTTATCTGGTCAAGCTACTGTTGTTGAAGCCATTTCCCCAAGCAAAATCAAGAAAACCACTGACAAGATCCTTCAAGTTAATATGATAACACTGGCAACATTCAAAGTGGTTAAATGGGTAGAAAACATGCCCCGCTTTTGTAGCATTTCACATGTTTTAGGAATTCAAATGGAATTTACAATATACATAGAGAGGGTGTTGTGTCCACTCACCCATCTGGTTCTGCTTCTATGCGTTCCTCAACCTTTGGTTCAAGCTGAAGTTCATTCTCAGTTTGACCAGCGTTTTCCGAAATGCTGGTCACCAAATAGTTCTGTTCGCTTTCAGGCGGTGGACTGGTGTCGGCCGGAGCTGTTTGCAGATCTTCAATGATTTCCAAACTCTCTTGTAGGGCTCCGGTTGGAGGGAGCTTCGCTTCGTTGGCACGGTCATCTGAAAGACGTGTCAAACTTTGGTCAGGCTCAGTGGTTTCCTTTTCGTCTTCCCCAATGGTCCGGGCAGTTTCCGTCACTTGGTTGTCCTGGCTGCTGCGGCGGGAGTCCGCTGTGGGGAGCGGTTCCGATGGTCTCAGTTCGGTGAGGTCAAGGTGGTCTGGCACACTGTGAAATTCCTCGTCGTCGTCGTCATCATTATCGTTCTCTGGGGGGATCCCTCTGAAGTCTGTCGACTCCGGAGACAGACTGCTGGGCGGTTCGTACATCTCGCTGCTGAAGCTCTGACAAGCATCGTCATCTTCATAGCAAGGAGGTTCCACAGAGAACTCCTCCACCTGTAGGAGAGTGAGAGAACACCACATGTCACCAGATCTTTGCAGTTTCAGTGCAGTCATTAATTTTCAGTGGCCACATGTAGCATTGGCAGTTTAGCACATAGCATTGTTCTCCACTACAGTAAATATAGTTCGACAATTAGATCTAATATAATTACTAAATACTAATGAGTGAATAGTACAAACAGAAAAACTCCCAAATCCCAATGTAACTGTTCAGCAAAATTATTTAGCTGAAGAATTAGGTAAATCATAACATTTTAAGACCATGTCGTGGAATGTTATAATTGAAAGTAATCAGTACTTAGATTCCCGAACATCGGTTGCCGAAATATTTTATTGTGTTGGAATGGAGAACTTAAAGTAATTCCACATCAATTTCTGAAAGGAAGAATCATACAAAATGAATGCTTCTCGGGCCCTGGAGTCTAGCAGGATGCTTGTGGTTGAGCATTTCTCTGATGCCGTCCGATAAAGTGTGTTTCTCAAGAGTGCAGGGTGAGTCCTGTAATCCAGACATCACCAGTCTGAGCATGGGGCAAGACATTAGTCAGCTGTGCGTCCCCTAGTAAATGTGCACGAGTTGAAAGGCAATATTTGGATGAGCTAGAGTCCACAAAGGTGTCTTTGGTTTGTGGCTGGACTGATTCCTCTGACCTTGAGAGCTTCCAGTGGCATCTATCAGACCTATGCCCTTGCTCCAGCCTTCACTACCTCTCCTATACGTCACTGACGATCAGCTGTCAAGTTCAACTTTATTGTCATACAGTATATACCTATATATAATGTCATATACAATGAAATGCTTACTTGTGTTTTCCTTATTGACATAGAAAATGACATCACAATTCTTGAAGACAGCAACACGGTAGACGCTCTAATTTTAAGCAACATTCAGGTAGTGTCTGTTTGCAAAATTCAAGTAGTGGCAGTATTTTAAATTCAGTGCAAAATTGAGGTAGTATTCAACATCAGTAGGAGTGCAATCACAGGTTGTCTCTGACCAGCAATGTTTCCAAAGTGAGCAAGAGTGAAAGATCCAGCAAAGAGCTAATGGAACTCACCGTATCATTCCTGTCAATGAGGTCCAGGAAACCAAAGGTGTCCTGCAGCTCCAGGCTGAAATCATGAGGGCATCCATAACCGATGTCTCTCCGCATGTCTATAGAGAAAGAGCACATGACTGAAAAACACTCAACGCTCTCAGCTTCAGCATATTGAGAGACTGAGAGATTGCAGACGTTATGAGAGGGAGTTTTGAAACAATTTGTTCTACTACCACTGGAGGAAAACAAATGTATAAATCTGTTATAAACTCCTGTTATAAAAGTCTTTTTTAAAAAGCACTAGCCACAAAGTTGGAAAACGTTTGAGGAAATTAATTTTCCTGCATATATACAGTATTACGGACTTATTGCATATGGACATACGGTCTATATACAGTAGTAAGGGCATATTGCAGAAGTATTCTCAATTTAATTCACATGCAGTATTAAAACCTGCTCTCAAGCTGAAGTGAAATCCACACTTTCATTTTCCAGACAGTGCAGGAAGTGCCTCCTGTTGAAAGATTCTACTTTAATTTTCTGCACTCATTGAATATCTGCAGAAAAAAAAAAGACTTTCTCTCCTGGGGATCAGTAGCAACAGTATAATTTCCGCACCGGAATCCTGGAAATGTTATGATTATACTAGAATAAATCTGTTTTGACTTTGTGTGAAAGTTGGCCAAAACACCACACTTAACACCATCACTCTTAAGAAAAGAGGGTCTTGACCTTGAATTCAAGCCCTGATCCAGGCCTGTACTGTTTATACTTTCCATGATAATGGAAGGTCTTTTAAGGTCACCTCTATTCCAGGTAGAAATAGCATCTACAGGGCTGGAGGCTTTAAGTATTAAGAGCTTAATGTGCAAGTAGTCAGGACATCAGTGTGTAGTGGAGCTAGTTCGGATACGGTGACGTCGGTGCCCTCACTGCGTGTAGCAGGGACCTCAGCCGCCTGAGCTGGGGGAGGTCTCCTTTAGCTCACTCGGCTGGTTCCCTGTTGCGTTACGCCAGAGACCGGGTTCGCGCCCCAGCTGCTGCGGGACAGAACAGGTGGCGGGGGGCACAACACCGCGCGGAACTGGAACGGTCACAAGTGCAATGTCTCATCCAAAGGACAGCCTCATATAGCACTGTATCCAGGCCCATAAGATGGCATTGGTTTAGAACTTCTGGACCAATGGGAAGGGCACCACCTACTTCACTTACAGCAGCAGCCTGATATTCCTTAAGGGTCTCCTACTGAGCAGACTCGACTTACCTTAGGTTCTGAGATCTGACATGAGATCAGGGTGACAATTCCAGTGCCGATGTGGACGAAAGCATTTCCAGCTCTGTGCTACAGTTGTTTCTTTTGTTTCTTTTCATTCCCTTACCCATATAATCAGCATCCTGATCCTCCTCTTCTTCCTCTGAGCTGACGCTACTCTGTTCACTGTTCCCGTGGTCTTTGTCACCCGACTCGCTCTCGCTGCCCAAAGAGTCACCCGCAGAGTGTCCTGTCTCCATCGTGTCCGGCTGGGGGGTGTCGTCTACATTCTTTTCCGGGACTGGAATGAACATGTCCAAACAGTATCAGCCCTTCTGTTCCTCAAAGCAAAACTTAACTTTAACCTCATGACACGTGGTGGGCCTAGTCTGTAACATTGAGAGTGTATTTCTGGGGGACACATGTGGAAATTAAGATGAAACGCCTTAAGGCCTATAAATGTTAGGAATGATTTTATACAGGGTTCTGTGAGAGTGTTCGGAACAACCCGCCAAGAAGGACGGTTATAATTGACACCTTGGCTCCTTTAGAAAGAGAGGAAATTTTGATGATGTTATTCATCATCAACCAAACAGACAAGATGGGCTGAATGGTCTGTTGCGTGTTGTTCTTCATGGATATCTATGTTTTGGCTTTTGAAAACGGGAAACGATGACTGATGAATTGAATGATTGGACAATTTCTAAAAAGGCGTTATCAAAGCTTCCTAAAATTGGCTACCTCCTTATCATCCCAAGCTGCATGACCGCTGCAGAGAAAAGATTACATTTCAAGGAGAACCAAAGCAGATCACCTTGTTCCTTAGGATGTGTTATTCCTTAAAATGCTTGCGCTAGTCGTATCTAAGAGTTGAATCACTGAAGTGTTACCATCACAGAGAAGAGTTATCAAAGCTCCAGTACACAGTTATTTTAAGATGACGAACAGAAATATCCCGAGGAGACGCTCAGGAACGGAAGCATACATTTGCGCTCTTACCCTTTCCCTCGGTCATCCCGTCCCGATGCTGAGGCTGGCATTCTGGGTCTTTGGCCTCCTCTCTTGTTTCCATTTTGTCTGCCTTGCGGTCTCCGGCGTCCACATTGACCCCCTGCAGGACGCCCATCGCCAAGCCGGAGGTGATGTGCAGGGGCACGGTCACCGAGAAGGGGCCGGAGATGTGGATGCCGGCCCGTTTCTCGGCGCGGTTGCCGTGGACCTTCGGCGACTTCGACGGGCCGGTCTCGGTGATCGAGTAGCTCCCCAGGCTGGAGGGCCCGGATTCGGCCTTCCCGTATGCCCCGCTCAGGACGCTGACGCTGGCCCCTCCCCCTCGGCGGTAGGTCACGGCGTAGCTGCTGCCCCCCATCAGCCCCTCCGCCACCGGGACGACAGAGGGAGCGGCGCTGGGGCCGAGGGTGGGGGACTCTCCGCTGCCAAAGCACTCCTGCCCTAGCATCTCACTGGAGCTGCGGTTCGACATGGGAACTGGAGAGCAAGGACACGGGGTCAGTGCTGAGATTGGATGGATGAAGCAGAGTTTTGGGGTTCGCTTGATATTACGCACTGCTACCCAGGACCAGAGACCCATGGACTGAGTGGATCAGGGATCCCCAGACTGACTGCGTCAGTACTCCCCAGGATCAGGGCTGGAGACCCCCCCCAACTGACTGGATCAGGGCTCCTTAGGATCAAGGCTGGACACCCCTGGACTGACTGGCCTGGGTATGTGCCAGACAGGTCGAGGTGACTTAACCAAGCAGAAGAAAAAACTGTGAAATCATAAGGATTTGAGCTCACTGAAGGACCAGGAGCATGGCGGTGCTGCTTGAGGTAGTGATGATAGTAGGAGCAGTAATATTTATAAATGTGTCAATACATTTCATTTGAGACTGGAAAGCTATTAATGTTTGTGCCACGAGGAGTATATGTCTGTTTATGTGAGAATAATAATAATATGATGATGATGATTATACTATGGTATCTGACTTGTTGGTTCTTATGATTAATTACAAATCATACAATAACACCCCAGCACAACCCAAAGGTTGCACTGACTAATAGTGGGGAAGGGATGTCTGTTGTCGAGTGTCCGTTAAAACACGTTTGATATTTTGTCAGCCTACAAATTTTATATACAATATAACAAGTAATAGGTTTATTCCATGCTGAAAAAAAGAAGAAAGAGAACACAATGTTTCGGCCGTGGAGCCTTCTTCAGGTGTGAGTATATAATAATATACAATATTAAATCATGAAAATATATGTAAAATGAAACATGAAAAATGTTCCACGTTTTTATTTAAAAAATAAAGCCATTGTATTTTAAGTGTCATAAATATACTGCGTAGAATACACTAAAGCGTACGAAACACAAACAGCTCTAACAACTAGCCTACCACTGTAGGATGCCTTTGATATTCCTGAATTTTAAACCTATGTAGTTTTTTTTTTTACCTTGTTCTATTATTTTTGCATTTCCCCGTCACTGAGGAGAATGTCAGGTATTCCTGATCTTATAGGCCAATTTCTAGAAGCAATGTGTTAAATCTGAAGTTTGTTACTGTACCACTGTTAACTGTGACTAAGAAAGGATTTAAATTACTGCATTATGCTGTACATGCACAAAACACCCGTCGTTACCTTCAAGAAAAACTTCCGATTGTCCGAGCTCAATTTAAATGTTTTAAAAAATCAGAATAGAAGCTGAATAACAGAATCAGGAAGTACACAGATTGAGAAAATTGTGCTTCTGCCATGAGCTGAGTTTAACAAGATGACCTAAAGGTGGCACAGTTCCTCCAAAAATCACCAAACACCTTACCACATTGATGTATTGCTAGCAACTCTCTCCACTAATCCTGCTCAAATTCAAACGACAATAGCAGCACCATACCTGATCAAAATAATGGTCCTTTCTTTTTACTGTGTTACTTTATAGTAAAACAAGTATAGTAAAAGCAATCATATTTCTAGCAATATGTCACTCAATTGACAGAATTCAAGATTTCTTTTCAGTTCCAATGAGAGAGCTTTTCTCAGTCTCATTGTTAAAATGACATCCATTATAACAGTCATTATCAGGATTACTGAAACAGCACAAGTTTTGGGGAAAAGAATTTAAGCAATATGAACGTATTACATTTAATGTATTATGGAAAGTCTGATTGTAAAATGGGTAATAATATTAAATGTAAACAGAATACTTAGCAATGGGCTTACAGACTGCACGTCTGTTCAATATTTTTTTTTTAAATCACTAAAAAGTCTCAATCAGTATGTATATATATCACATGTATTCTTTTTGCTCGCTTAATGTTTTTCTACAGCCTGAAAGGATACATGAACGCACCAACATAATACATTTTAAATGACAATGAACATGAGACATTTACCATCTTGCACATATGGCACCGAGCTTAGAGAATCCATACTTTTCGCTGGTCTGAGGTTCACCTTTTCTTTTTCTGAAATGGAAAAAATACAGGAAACATATAAATAACAGTCAGGGGCAAATTGCCACACAGCCATTATTCCCCATAATTTACAGGGGATTTCCAGACAGCAATCAAATGCAGCTGGACAAATCATTAATTGCTTGCAAAGCCATTATATACTATTTGCAGTTCTAGTAGATAGCTGCATCAGCATGCGCAGGCTGCAAAGGAACAAGTAGCAACCAGCAGCCAAATCACTCTGCAGCACCCAGCTGGCAGCCCCACTGAAGCTTAGCAGGTGTGAGCCTGGCCAGTACCTGGATGGGAGACTCCTGGGAAAAGCTAAGGTTGCTGCTGGAAGAGGTGTTAGTGGGGCCAGCAGGGGGTGCTCACCCTGTGGTCCATGTGGGTCCTAATGCTCCAGTATAGTGATGGGGACACTATACTGTAAACAGGCGCCATCCTTCGGAGGATACGTAAAACCGAGGTCCTGACTCGCTGTGGTCATTAAAAATCCCAGGGTGTTTCTCGAAGAGTAGGGGTATAACCTTGGCATTCTGGCCAAATTTCCCATTAGCCCTTACCAATCATGGCCTGTACAACTCTTGGTGCATCCAGGTGGATGGTGCACATTGGTGGTGGTGGAGGGGATCCCCATTACCTGTAAAGTTCTTTGAGTGGAGTGTCCAGAAAAGCGCTATATAAGTGTAAGCTCTTATTACTATTATTATTAAGTAAAAGAAAAGAAAGACAATGTTTCGGCTGTGGAGCCTGTGTGACACACCTGAAAAAGGCTCCACAGTCGAAATGTTGTGTTTCTTTGCTTGTCTTTCCAGCATGAAATATTCCCTTACTTGTTCCTGATTTATGTAGTTCTGTTTTCATATCCCAACGATTGTTGATATCTCATAATTGAGTCAAATGCTGTACATAGCAAAGCTACCTGATGCAAACAGCTATCACACTGCTTTGAACTTTCGTTTCACAACAACGGAGAGCTTTCCAGCTTTTAACATCCATGCTGTACAACAGTCGTTCCACAACTGTAGTCCTACAGAGAATCGAAGAGAGGGGTGAAAAATCCCTTCTGCAGCTGAACTAAGGGGGGATTTCAGGGTTGCCAGATTGTACCGGCTCAGAGTGGAAGTTTACACCCCCTACTCTCACAAACAGTGATCGGGGTCTATAAATAACAAGAAACGGGCAACTTGATTCAGCATCTCTTCTGAAGGACCGCACAATTCCCATAACACAGTGCCTCCAATCAGCAGATACCAGGGCATTGGTTTGGAAATCCTGGTCCGGAGAAAAGAGCACCTCCTACTGGTCCTACTGGACCACTTCCAGCAGCACTCCGCTTTTCCTCTGAAGATCTTTCACTCTGGAATAGACCGGACCAAGCCTCGCTTAACTTCTGACTTGGCCGAGATCAGGGTGCGAGGTGGCAACCCTGCTGATGATTGCCAAGGGAGTTCCGGCTCGTGGCGGCACCTTTCGGCGACAGACTCCGAACTCGGAAGGCGGACCTGCGGCTCAGTGCCAACCCCCTCCCCGGTTGGTCGGGCCGGGGCGCGGACCCACCTTTGCTGTTACTCTTGCCCTTTTTCTTGGTCTCGTTGCTAGACCGGCCGAGGTTGAAAATGGATTTCCATTTCCTGCCCTTCAGAGAGCCCTTCCTCCTGTAGGGAAACAAACGTGAATGCAAAGACAAAGGCACCCCTTGCCCGACTTAGAGATAGACAGGTTTTTGTGTGTGTGTGTGTTTAAGATATCTTCTGGAAATGTGTCTGTATTCGAAGTTGTTCTTTCTGGCGGTGTCTTTTGTCTAGTTTTTTTCTTCTTTCTTTTGTGTCTCCACTCTTCCTGTTAGCATAGTTTTATTTTAGAGCTTCGAATAAGCGGCGCTGAACCTATCTGACACCCTGGCGGTTCTCGTTAGTTATGCTGCAACTCCATGAGGTCTTCTTTTCCCCTGGACGTTAGTTATTTCTAAAAGTGGGTTGTAGCACTGTGTTAGCTCCTTGTGCTACAGGGGTATTTGTGGGTAAAAGTGATCTGTATAAGCCTGGACATGCTCTCCTTGGATGTGGCATTACGCAGTCAGTGTAGCACCTTCTTGGAGGTTGTGTATGAGTTTATAACAGCTTCTATGTTTTAGTGACTTGTAATAGTTGACAAATTATGTGTTTTAGGTCATGTTTTTGTTGGGGATTGGTTTAAAATTTGGGATTGGGTTAGGGTTAAAGCCATTGGGATTTCTCATACCTGTTTGACTTTCAAAAAGATGCACATTGTTTGATTGTATATAAGATTATGTATGAATGCTGCGTATGTCATCTCTAATTATATCAGCTAAATTAGACTGTATTTAAGTGTAGGTTGACAGCAAAGCACTTGTTATTTCAATCATTAACACTTTCTTGGTAATTAATTTGTACACAAAAGCAAGAGAAATGTTTCTTTAACCATGCAGTGGTTCTCTCCATAGGTAGAGAAGTAATATTCCAGAGATTTTAGTGAGCTTGGCTGCTATCCAGGAAATGAATGATGCAAGAAAGGGCAAAATTAGTCTGATATTTTCTGGGCATTGCTGCACCAAAGCAAAGTAATTGCTGGAGGGGTTGGCCTTAGAGATGGTTTAGGTGGTACAGCACAGTAATATGAAGGACATTTTTAATAAAGCATGCAAAAGGTCTGGTGGAAAGTGATATACAATGTGGAGAACCATATCCATGGAGAACCACAACCATATCCATCTAGGTCCAGGGCTCGGAGCACCTGGCCTCGTCATCCCGTTTTTCTTCCCTGTCCCTGCACCGGATCCCGTTCCGGTATTTAACCTCATCTTGTCCCGATTGGATCACCCGGTTTTGGACTTTTGGACTTCGCCCTAGATTTTCCTCCTGGACTAATTGGACTAGTTCGCCTTGGCCACACCCCCCGAGCACCAGATCACCATCGTCACGCCCCCCTGTCTGTCAACCCCTCCTAAACCTGAACCGTCTCCTCCCCGTTATCCTTCTCCACTTACTTTGGGATTATACCGTCTGCATAGGGTCCTGAACTATGCTTCAGTAAGGTTGTACTATGGTACCACTCAAGCGAAGGGCAGCAGTCGCCAAGAGAGGAGAGACACCGAGGCACCGCGGCAGGGCCAGAACTTACTTGTTTTCGGACACCTCTATGATGGCGTGGTAGGGGCGCATGGGTAGCGGCCCATCCCCTGGGCTGATGGAATTGGGGACGTTGAAGGGCAGGGCTCTGAAAAATGACTCATCTGACTGCAGGGAGGGCGAAATAGGCAGGGATTTCCTCCGCTTGTTCTGGGGCTCTGGGACAGCAACACAGAAGCCAAAGTTATCTTTGAAACCCCCCTCGGGTGGCAGAGAGGGCTGTCACTGACAGACGGCGGGTCGTTTCTGGGGGTGGGGTGGTTTGCCCCAGAAACACATCCCGGGACTGCACGTCCTAAGAGCGACATCACTCCAGAAGAGGGCAAACTCTATTTTGTGCAACAAAAAATGTGTGGCCTCTAATATCCACAGATATTTAAATGTCTTTGTATTACAAACAGAGCTCTAAACTTTGGTATGACAGAAAAAACAGCAAGGAATATACAAAACAGAGAAACCTCAAGGAATAAACATGGGGCTATTTGTACTAATATTTACCATTTTATGTCACAGTGCTCTAGAGCCCTTTAAAGACCTAATTTGATCATATTTCAGTTAAATTTAATCAGCTTAAAGTGTACACTGCACTTTTCTAGCACTGTGGCTCATCTCTTTATTTCACAATTTCACCCATGATGATACTCTTTTTTTTGCAAAAACACCATCTATTCTCTAATTATCCAAGATAATTCTTGAGCTTACAAATTTATCTTGGGCAGTTCTTCTCTTCCTTTCTTGTAAAGGTGATGCCTTTATGAGGAAACGTCTGAAAATCATCAAAACCCAAGTTTCTGTGGCTTCTTTTGGGGCTCTTTTTGCTGAAATTTTTGCTTTCAGTACTCAAAGACACTAATCATTCCAAGATGCTACCACCTTGTTGTTCATGAGACATTGCCAGCAGCAGAAGCTGTTACCTGTCTTGGGGTCTTCTTCGAACAACTGTTCCACGTGCATTAGGATGAACTCCACTACAATGGACTGAATCCGTACCTCCATGAACGCGGCAGTCCCATTGAATCCCGTGGTCTCAATATCCTTTGACCTGTCAACAGAAGCAGCAGGACAGCAACAAGTCAGAAACACACAGTTCCATGTTTTACAGCTAGAATTTGCAACACTTTTGCCAGCGTCATTTTTTATAAAGGATGCCGCATTACGTATAGTGTATAAGAGATGTCTGATGCGGGGAAAATAATGGAAACATTCAGAGTCTGAATAATTCCTTACATTTATACAGTGCTTTTCTGGAAACCCCACTCAAAGTGCTTTACAGGAAATGGGGAATCCCACTATCACGACCACCTGGATGTTGAGACAGCAGGCAAACTCACCACACACCAGCTATTAGTGGGGAGGAGAACAGAGTAGGTATGTAGGTCCCCTTTTCAGGCCTTAAAAGCCCATGGGGGAATGAGCTACCATTTTTCTTGACCATCCAACACTGGAAGTGGAGGTGATGTGGTCAGCATCACGCTCCGGCCAGCCTGTTACCTCCGGAAGGATTAACTCCCGGTACTCATTGGGAAAGCAGGCTGAGTGGACATGGGAGCCGTCTGGAAGGAATTAGAGCAAGCTCCATCGCTTGCCCCTACCTGGGATTGAACCCAGGACCTTCCAATCAGGAGCTAGACACCCTTGCCATCTGAGCTACCACGGCAAGGAGAACAGAGTACTACTACAAATTCAGAGACATCCCTAAAAGCAGTAGACATACAGTATGATGTGAAATGCACTGTATTAGGTCTGCAAAAAACTGCGTTCTGATGGAGTGACCCGTTGGCCTGTATTAACAGCAGGTCCGGCCCTTGGAAGATGCACACCTCAGGAGATTCGGTGCCCACACGATCGCCAGGTTCCGAGAGTGCATGTTGGTTTGTGGTGCATGTGAGGCCATTCTGACCAGGTGGCGCATCAGGAACTCAAGGGTCCTGCCAAGCAGAGGAGGAAATCAGGGGAAATTGGCACAGTCAAATGGTCACCTCCCAAGGAGCTTTCAGAACCTAAGCTGTTCGCTTCAGACCTGTAAGCAACATGACAAGTGACTCCTCAGCTTTCAGCATCTTCCTAGATCTCTTCTCCTCCTTCAACTGTCCACTCCCCACTGTTCTGAAAAAATACTCTAAGTCACAGCAAACTGACCAATGTCATGCTGGAGCTTCTACAAAGCCTGCTCCCTGCCTGGACGGACAGGGGAGAAAGCTACCTGTAATGAGGAATAGGAAGTTCTTCCAGCACTTCCTTTATCTTGACCAGTCGCTCCTCTTCCAGCTGCACTGCTATGGCATCCTAAAGGAAGAGAAGAAATAGGAGGAGGGAACAGAGGATAACTGGGAAGTCTGAAGGTTAACAGCCAGCTAACAGCATACATGAGCCATTTTTCGATATCACACTGTGTTTCTCTGCCAGAGAGTCAACCTGCCCATGGCGGAACAATTTATGTTCCAGTTTTGAAATTTGTCACATTATAACACTCGGGAGCGGGCATGTCAACCTGGTATGTATACCCCTGTCATTGGCACTTGTCTTCCCCCAAGTGCTACAATAATATATACAATATATTCACTGTCAGTCAGGAGGTGCAATATCTTGTGATACAGTGGAGAGAGATTTCTGCTGAAGGACACTGAAGGATTTGTGATTTTGTGGTAAGGGTGGGCATCTTGGCTCAAAACACAGGATCAGCTGTGGGGTCTTGAGTCAAGATGGTCACCTGATTACTGAGAGAAGCCGCAGAGTTAAGCACAGCTGGCCTGTTTGAGTCTTGAATATGAGGGTAGGGAGCTGTCGGGACAGGCACTCTGGAATTAGCCACTCCAACAAGAGGGGTATTACATTTCTGTTTTTAGGTGTAGAAGCTAGGAGCTAGTCTTGACCTAAAGGTAAATTTTGGTTGCAAAACAAATGTACAGGAACTGGAGTGTACAGAAAACTGAAGATCTGAATCCAGTCTGCTTCAATTTTATTTTCAGGAAAGAAAAAAAAAACATTGAACGTTGCAAGTTGAGACACAGATGCCTGAAGAGGATGGCAGACAAATTGAATACGCTCTGCATGGGGAAATGTCTCCCTGTGCACTGTGTTATAGAAGCTCAAACGAGTGCTAGCAAGATGTCAGATAGAAATAAAATCCAAAAGAATAAAAAGCTTCACCCAATTAAAGATGAAAAATTGTCCAATATATCCAAAGTAATGAGCAGCACACTTACCGCAAATTTGTCGTATAGTTGGTAGGTAAGCAGAGGGTTGGGCAGTTCTCTGAAGTAGGCCTTGCACAAGGAGCTAACACAGTGAATGTCTTGCAGGTAGACTTCCTTGTTCAGGTCAGGCTCCTTCTGGGAATCAAACTCATTCCTAGAGAACCAAAGGTTAACAGACACAGTCAGGTCTGCAGGCCGATTTTTGAGACGCAGTCCCGGTTTCGGTTTTAAAACTCCAGCCTATCCACCCAGAATAAATTCCACAATGCAACTTACTTTCCTCGCTTTCAGTCTGCAAGTAGCAGTTTGCGTCAGCACTGTGCAAAGTCTGGAATATCAAAGTTGCACGTGGAATAATTGAACAAAACCCTAAAATTGAACTGCATGCGGATTAACAGTTTTCTAGTTGAAAACTGTAGCTTGACACTAGAGAAAAGACAAAAGTACATTATACTAAACTAAGATTTCACAAGTTTAACCTAAACCATCTTTTTTAAACATTAATAATATTCAACACGTCGACAAACGAGATGTCCCAATCTGTCTACAACACATAGTCCTCTACCTGAGTTTCTGGATGTTGGATGAGATTCCCGAAAGTCTGTAAATTCCATCCACAATTCCATGCTCCTCGACGAACTCAGTGCAGGAGCGCAGGACCTGCGGAACTGAGGCAATTGCGAAATGTGAGAGAGAACCTGGAGGATTCGTTCCATATTCTCTACTGCAGAAACCCACTAGGAAACAAGCTGCTGCAGTTTAAAGGTGCCTTTTTCCCCGTCTCCCCATGGCTGATGATGATTGCTAAATGGAAGCACGAATGAATGGAGTCTATTTCTGCTATTTCTCTTCTTGCTATTTTGGTTCACCGTGGGGAGAACGAGGAGGAGCTAACAAGCCCATTCAGGTTCCCTGTCACTGCTGTAATCTTCAACACTCTACAGCGCCCATAGCGACTTGCAGGAGAGTTGGCACTGATTGGAGGAGTGGTGACATCACTGCAAGTCAGAGGGAACTTCATTACGGCCGATGCTGACCCAGGACAACTTCCCAACCTTTTCTGTTGTAGCACCCTGTCAGTTGGGAACTGATTGAGGAATCATGATCATAGTGACATGACCAAGGTACGAGCTCACAATATATGGACCATAGAGGTCAACCATTTTTGTAAGTTGAAACTGTTACTCCACGGCCAGCTGGACAATAGCCCGCAGTGTTTTGAGTAGAGAATCCAATGCATGATACAGGCTGGTTTATTGAAAAGAGGCAATAATACTAAGAGCAAAGGGTTGATGTACCTGAAAGGATGATGTCAGACAGAAACACCTGAAGACAGAGAAACCTTTCAGGTGAGGCCTGACAGGAGACAGATCCGAGGCAGATCTGGAGGAATGGTCAGGAGTAGCTGGAGCATTGCAGGCAAGGGACTATGCAGAGATGCGGGACTGGACTTGATAACCAGTAAGCAGGACGGATTGGAAAACAGGAACTGCATAGAGTGCCAGGTAAGCAGGACTGGACTAGATAACCAGGAAGCAGGGCCAGATTGGAAAACAGGAACAGGACTGCACAAGATCACCAAGAATCAAGACACAACTGAAAATCAGAGCTCAGAGGTCAAGACAGAGCATGGCTGAGAGCAGCTCAATAACTGACTTAAATACTGTGCTAATCACAGTTTATAGGTAGCAGGGAGCAGAATGTAACTCATGTAGAAGTTGGAAGGTTTGAGCTCCTCATGAGAATGTGTGGCTGAGAGTTTGGACCCAAATGGTAACAGGAACCCTTGTGATTTCTAGCCTATCTTTCCCCAGGACAAAGTGATAACAAGGAGAAAAGTACTAGAGAGCCATGACAGCCCTGGTACATCTGGAAAATGTACCAGGGATCTGGAAAAGGGGCTGAACTGAATTTACTTTCTTGGTTGGTGTTGGTGGTGTGGTCCACGAGATCGCAGCCAAACACCACTTTTTCTTTGGCTTGTCCTTTCCTCCTCCCACGCCTCATCGCTCTTGGCGGACAGGAGGCTCCCCTCCCTGGTGCCAGGCAAGGGTCTGGACGGGGTGGGGGGTTCAAAGGTCGGAAGTCAGCCGCGTGCTACTGCTGGGTGTTGGCGTCTCCAGCTGTAACTGTGGTCCGCACCCTTCTGCAAATGAGAAAAAAAGAGCGTCTGGTTGAAAGTCATCTTGTCTTCTCCTGAACACACACAACAATGCAAATTTTGTGCCAGAGAGAAACATATGACAGAGCTTGGGAAGCACAATGCGAGAGGTTATCATGATCACAACATCGAGAGCAAATAAACTAAGTCTTTCCCATGAGAAGAACCAGTAACCAAACCAAAGCTGATGCTGCATTCTGGTTTCCAGAGCATGGATAGACCATGTGACTAACAGCTCATCCGAGTTCTGCAAACCAAATACCGCTGTATTTTGTACCTTTTCCACCTTGAGTTCTTCGTTGCTCTGTGTTGTGAGGAGAATGCAAATGGAGATCAGTGTCCTAAAATCAAAATCTTATATATATTTACTGATGGAAAAGAGAAACCTAGAAAACCTAGAAAAAGGCCACACTTAGTCAGTTTTCTGTGCATTCCATAATGTCTCAGATGTCACCAGAAGCAAGGGAGAGGGCCATTGGCATGCTGCAGGCAGGCATGTCATGTGCCAGTGTTGCCAGACACTATGGAGTAAACCGCTCCACTGTGTCCCGACCGCAGAGAAGGTTTCAACAGGCCAGCAGGACAGATGACTGTCTAAGATCCGGTCACCCTCAAGTGACCACACCAGAGCAGGACCGACACATCAGACTGGTCCATCTGAGAGATCGTTTCAGATCTGCCACCTGTACTGCTGCTGAAACTGCCAGCAGACACAATGCCTGCATCAGTGACAGGACAGTGAGGCTCCATGCTGCTGGCCTTAGAGCAAGGAGACCTGTCAGAGGCCCTCTGCTCATACCTCCCAGACGTCACACCCAACTGGCTTGGGCCAGACAGAGGCTGCGATGGACTCGTCAACAGTGGCAACAGGTCCTCTTCACAGATGAGTCACTCTTCAGCCTGTTCCACGGAGATGGGAAGGCCAGAGTGTGGAGGAGGTGTTGTGTTTCTTTTATCTATCAGTGTATATTGGAGTTTATAACAAAAGTCAGCCAAATTCAATCTGTCTCATCTGTCAGTAATTTGTACTTACTCCTGATGTCATTTCCTCTCCTAAACCACTATAAATACTGTACTGCTCCCTTTCTCTCCCTCACATCCGTCTTTCTGCATCCCACCTCCACCTCTGCAGCTGCCCCTTGGTCACTCCTCCCTCTGCAGGGGGGTCCCAGCCTCCTCGTCCTCTGGCCAGAAAGTTAGCCCTCAGCCAAGCGGATTAAACCAGGTTTTGACTAAAACACTTCATAATCCTTTCAGTACACTTAGAACACTTAGTTCTTGGGTCTTGTTTTTCCCAGCGAACTGTGTTTAAACTTGGTTTTCCACCTTCCACAACCGATGCAAGAAGAAAAGTCTCAATTGAAGTTTACACATGCCCCGTATGAATAGAAGAACGATTACGAAGAAGAGGAGGCTATCTGACTCTACCTTGCTTGGCTGCTGGTAACTCACTGATCTGATAATCTGATAGTTTCCTGTATGAAGTCTGGGCAACAACATTAGGGTTGGTTTGCCCCTGTCTTCCACGTACTTTTGTGTAAAAGAGGTGCCTCCTATTCACGTTTGCACGTGACTGGCACTTCACCACAGTTTCCAGTTGTGCTTTGCCTTTCACTTTTGTTTCTGAAGAATACCTCTGAGCCAACTGTGCCTTTGAGAAACTGGAATTTTTTTATCAAATAGGGTTCTCTCATGGTCTTCTCTGTTCAAGTTAAGATATTCTTGTTAGCTCAGGAATGCCCCTGATATTTTATGTGTTTGCTACCTCCAAGTATTGCTCTGCAACCTTGTCTCGCTTAAATGTCAGCTTCCCAGGTGATTGCCCAGTACTGAATTTACTCTAAACCTTTTTGAGTGTATGTGTAGGAAGGTAATTTCCATATCTGAGCCACAGTGGCTCATCAGGCCAGAGCTTGTCCTGGTTTCTGTCAAGACATTAGGACCAGAGGTCACATGACCTCATCCCTGCAAGGGATGCTGGTCCATCACAGGGACAAGGGTGCCTACTTTTACAGCTGAGTGGGCTGGAGCAATTGGAGTACAATACCTCACTCAAGGTGTAACAGCACCATCTGCAGAGGGGACTTGAACCCACAGCCCACCAGTGATAAGACCTGAGATGTCCCTACTGTGACCTACTGCCACGCTCAAAAGACTATATACATATCTGAAATTACATCAAAAGTTACTTCCCACTCACTGACACACACCCTTAGGAATCTCCAAGCAATAACAGTTCGCAGTTCAAAATGCAGCCATAATGCTCACTATTATTCTGTGTACACAGTTATCATAGTTGCTATTAATTTAAATTGTAAACAAAAAAATGAAGAAAAAAATGCTCTGGCAGCTGAAAATCAAAGAATGCTTCACTCTATTAAAGACAGCAACCATCTTCCAATGAGAAGCAAGAATCCAATAATTTTTCAACCTAAAAAGCATGCTGAATGTCCGACAGAGTTTCTATATCAGGGCTACTTAATCTGTGCTGCTGTGCTTTGATATTACAAGCTCCTTAATTGCTATTTTGATCCTTCTAATAAAAGATTACGGAACGGAGGAGCTGGTTGTCACAAAAACCCATAATGAAGCAGATTGGAAGGACCACATAATGAGAAGCTCTCTTTGTACAGTTTTACAGGAAGCCTAGCTTGACTCCATGATATACTACTCACATCTTATCACATTCTGTAGCTTGCATGGATACAACAACCAATGGCTTCTTACAAAACAACACGGAACAGCTCTGTTTGCACCTCTGACTCCAAGAAAGTTATTCTCGCAAGGACTGAAGAATAAATTCAAGTGGACACCTTGCACACAACATGTTGAATGAAATCTTGTGGGTGTCGGATTGGCTGGTTTTCAGGCCGGACTGAAGAGTCTCCTCTATTTTTGCAGCCATCTCTGCTACTTCCTCCGTTCTCTCCCCCCCCAAATGACAGCTGTCTGGTGCCCAGAGCTGGCTAGTTAGGTTTCCTACTTACCCAGTTTTCCATCTGGGTGTCACCTCCTGCTGTATCGGGCTGGGGCCCCTGCCTAGGCCTCGACGCGCACGTATATCTGTGTCGTTCAACGGGCGTCAATCTCTGGAACCGGAAGCAGCGATTTTTCCTCGCTATCTCTTCGCCGCCTCGCCAAAGAGCCCCCCCACCTTGCTCCACCAACCCTCTAGCGCTCTTTCCCTCCGAGGGCGCCCCTCCTGCCTCAGAAACGCAGGTCTCAGGGATGACGCGTGATTCCCCCCTTCCCACAATTCAGTGGATCAGTCGCACGCCCGTAGGATTCGGGCAGCTTTTCTTACCTTAGCAGGCGACGGCGGTGACGCAAGCCAGCAAACTCTGCTTCCGCTGGTAACTTCCTGAGACTGCCTCTGTCATTCTCTCTCTCTCTCTGTCTCTCCACGACGCACTGCGCTTAACGTTTTGCAACATCATGTGCAGGCAGAGATCTTACATGAGCTCAGGTTCTTGGAGAACAGATAGCTTTTAAATACTACGTGCATCTTCATATGCAGCGCACATTACAGGTAATAACAGCGTAATGTACAAATGAGTCGGTCAGGTTGGTGGCTGCGTCAGCATGCGTAGGCTGCAAAGGAACAAGTAAAATATTTATTCCATGCTGAAAAGAGAAGAAAACAAACACAATGTTTCGGCTGTGGAGCCTTCTTTGGGTGTGATATGTAATAACAGAGTAGTTGCAGGTAATAACAGAGTAGTTACACAACATCTGGGTATAAAACTGGATATGCTTATGCATATGGAAGGTACAAATATGAGTAAAAATGCCAAAAAAGTAACGTTTCAGGCCAATTAAATACTGATTTGCCTGAAAGCCTCAGTTGAAGGCATGAGAGAGCTGAGTTTTGTATTTTTGTTTCTGAATAGTTGGAATCACCAGGCCTCACGCACAACTCGTTTCTTGATATTAATTGGCAGCTGGGCACTTGTCAAAGAGGTAGCTTCAGCGGGGTGTCGCGCAGTGCCCACGGCAGAGTTGTCAGGGGTCAGGGGAAGGGCGCAGGGGCACAGCAAGTCCCAGAAGACGCAATCGATTGACAAGCCAGGGATGGCCCGACCAAATACAGCTCATCTGACCAGCCCCCGTGAGGACTGATCCATTGTCCAGGGTCCCTTAGGAGCCCCCCTCACTCCGATTGTGTTTGAAGCCAAGGCTTCTGTTTTTACAGGGGCCAGAAAAAGTGGGCAGAAACTCAGATCTGTGGTGGTGGGGTTGTACCTCAATTAAAACAAAGTCTGGACAGTGGGGAATAGTGGGAGATGGGGGGGTGAAGTCAAATGACAGGTCACGTCACACCCCCGTCACTTCCAAACAGAACCCAACACTGTGAATAAAAAATACATTACGGTGTGATATAACAGATTCCCACCTCTGTTAAACACGAGGTGTCTTCTTACGGATTTTCCCTGGCAGCCCAGACTCAAACCGGAGCATGTCTCAATAAATATCGATCAGCCTTCTTCTTGTGTGTCTGCATCAGGCCCTGCGATATTCATAGGGTTACGATACCCTGCATAGACCTGGCTGACTTGCAGGCGTGTTGATGCAAGTCTAAAGTACGTCCGATTGTTATGCACAAGTTCTTATGTACTGGAGGTATATGATATGAACAAGACTAAACTATTCAGTCTGAGCTTGTATATTAGGATCTGCATTGTTCACAATGTCCAGCTAATTCATGCTCAGTATTGCCTACGAAGCTAAGCCGCTTTGCGTGAGCATCTACTTAAGACCCTGCATCACACTGGAGGCCCAGATTTCCTCTGTCACAGTTGCCCATTTCTAGGAGGTTGAATATGAGCCCCCTGCAAGGTGACGAGCAACTACGTCTATGTTAAATGGAAACCAAAACTAGCAAGTTATTTAACAGGCGCAATTTATCTTGCTGCACATAACAGCTGCTGTTTCAGCCCTTTGCAGCTTTCAACGTCGTCTCATTTCGGGTACAAGTGCAAATCTGAGAAGGCGCAATTTTGTTTTTCACACTGTGACGGGGTCCCCCTATATATCGAGGTGCCGTGTCTTTTTATACCCCGACACGGCACCTCGGTATATAGGGGAACCTCGGCACAGTGTGAAAAACAAAATTGCGCCTTCTCAGATTTGCCACTTGAACCAGCTCAAGTGGTCAGTTAGGGTCAGTGCCAGGTTGGTATTATTATTAAACCCTGCGCTGACGAAAACCCAACTTCCTTCCTACGTTCTTTCAGCTTTCAAAAGCTGCCAATCGATTGCGGTTTCAGAGTTGTTCACGGAGCGGCTTCAAACCGTAGGCCCCATCGCAAATAAAGGCCTTCATGACAGAATCGGAGTGGAGAGCCTGTGATTTTCATACAAATTCTGTTTTGGAGAAAAGTAGCAGAGAGGGAGTCTAAGAGGAGTGTTTTGTGAAGGCAGGGCCTATAGTTTCTACATGTGTTTTTTTTAAACAGGAAGTGTGGGGTTAGCCTATACTCACAAAAGAGAAGGGTGAGAGCACGGGCCTGCGTTGTCAAGGATACCCGAAAGAACAGGATGTTTCTTAAGAACGCCAGAAACACCGCTAGTTTCCTAACGGGCCTTTCAAAAAAAATGAAACAGTGATGGCGAATGGATGACAGACAAAAGCTCAGTCACTGAACCTCCCCTTTCTGGACAGGGGCAGTGAATTAAATAAAAAAATAAATAAAAAACAACAAATGCGCAATTCCCTCCCACTCCAGAAAGAGGACTCAGGGTGAGCCGTTTTGAAACGGAAGACACGCAGGACTGACAGGTGGCTAGACGGGCAAGTCTGACAGCCCAAACTTCAAACCTCAAAATGAGAACTGGAGATGCTCTGAAAGGGGCTGTGGAAAATGAGATTTTGATGTTGTAGTGTGCTTGGCCTGACATCTTCTGTCATGAGCTATATCAGTCCATGTCTCCCCAATTTCTTCTGGTCTCTAATTGGGCCCACTCTTTATTTTCTTGCATGAATGTATTTTTTTGTACAGAACACACTTGTTTCAGAAGGCTGGGGCACTTTCGCAAAATGGCCCCTCCCTTGGGTTCGAGACACACGTGCTCACTTGAACGCTCCCTCTTGCCTCTCTGAAACTACAAGACAGAAAGCCACTTCCTCTCTGGGCTGTAAGTGACTGTGTAGCAAATATGAGAGCAGTGGGAAGGAAGAAGGGTGACGGATTTTACACCCCCCCCAAGGAAGATAAGTCAAGGATTTTAAAGAATCTGGATGTGGGTTGGGGGCGACACAGTTTCAGAAGTGTGAAAAGGCAGCAGTATCACGCCTGCACAGGAGACGCAGTGATCAGCATTGCTGCCTTGCAGTGCTGGTGCCCTGGGTTCATAATTCCGGCCCTGGGGTGCTGTCTGTGTGGAGTTTGCATGTTCTTATGTTGGCGTGAGTGCTCCAGTTTCCTCCCTAGCTTTTCTGGGGGACCTAGGCAAGACCTTGGACATTGGCCATGAACTTGGCCATATCACCCTGCAGCTCACAGCTGGCAGCCCCACTGGAGATCAGCAGGTGTGAGCCTGGTCAGTACCTGGATGGGAGACTCCTGAGAAGCTTTGATTGCTGCTGGAAGTGGTGTTAGTGGGACCAGCAGGGGGCTCCCACCCTGCAGTCTGTGTGGGTCCTAATGCCCCAGTATAGTGGCGGGGACACTATACTGTAGTGGGCGCCATCTTTCGGATGAGACGTTAAACCGAGGTCCTGACTCTCTGTGGTCATTAAAAATCCCAGGGCGTTTCTCGAAAAGAGTAGGGGTGTAACCCCGGCATCCTGACCAAATTTCCCATTGGCCCTTATCAATCATGGCCTCCTAATAATCCCTATTAATGAATTGGCTTCATTACTCTGTTCTCCTCATCACTAATAGCTGATGTGTGGTGAGCGTTCTGTTGCACTATGGCTGCTGTCGCATCATCCAGGTGGGGCTGCACTTTGATGGTGGTGGTGGAGGGGATCCCCATTACCTGTAAAGCACTTTGAGTGGAGTGTCCAGAAAAGTGCTATATAAGTGTAAGCAATTATTAACTATTATTATTGGAAAGGGGCCTCTCAAGATCACAATTTGCACAAATTGTCACGATTACACGTTTGCACAAGTATTATCAGCTCCCAACACAACCTTATTTTTACTACTTAGCACAGTAAAATAAATGAATTATATAACTAGAAAACTTTTGCTAACCAGCTTTGAAGAACACAGAATAAATGACTTATAAGTAGGCTGAGCAAATGGGGAAACTTTTATAAAAACAAAACTTTCTATAAATCAATTTGCCTAGATTTTCCGACCTCAGGTGTGTTTCAGTCATCTTGAGCCCTGAAAAGCTCCTCTCTGCTCCTGTCACTGTCACTGGGAGAGTGACTGCGATCCAAAGAGCTCCAGGTGGGGTTTACAAT